ACAAGGACACGATACAATAAATCGTCTTCCTTCTCTAATAATTTAATGAAACGGTAAAACTTCCGCGCTTGGCGCTGGATGGGCGAAAATGAATACAGAAAAGGATTAAGAGTAATAATTCATTGAAACGTCAAAGCTTCCGCGCTTCGCGCGATAGGGCGGGGGCGAATTGCAATCAGACAAGGACACGATACAACGAATCGTCTTCTTTCTCTAATAATTTAATGAAATGTCAGAGCTTCCGCGCTTCGCGCGAGAGGGGGAAACTGCATTCAGACAAAAATTAAGAGTCGAGAATGGCACATCGAATCGTCTTCTTTCTTTATTAATCGATTGAAACGTCAGAGCTTCCGCGCTACGCGCGGAGGAAGGGGAACTTGATTCGAACAAAGATTAAGAGTCGAGAACGGTCCAACAAATCGTCTTCTTTCTCTAAATCCTGGCTACGCAGTTGGGGAGGGGTGCAACCTGCCACACGCTTCTACCTCTTGGTTGCTTTGATCCATTGCCGAAAATATTTTGGCAACTATCATCCCCCCCAACCACGGATACAAATCGACACCCTTGGCCCCATGGAAGACCACTACTTGTTGGTGAATGGGCTACCCTGTCAAAAGATTAGAAATAAATAAATAAATAAATAAATAAGGAGATAGTTTGCTAGAGAATGCTCTTCAAACATTAAACTTTTATGTGAACGCACATTTAACAACAGATGCAAAGTGAATGTCCTGTGATAAATTTGGGTTCGGAGTGGCGCGAATTTTTTAATTTGTTAAAAGGGTGCCGTGATAAAAAAAAAAAACAGGTTGAAAAACACTGATCTAATTTCAGCTTCCTCTCTTCGGTAAGTCTTTGTTAGGATCCATACATGACTGTTATGCGATTAGTAACAGTATTAACGGGCACTGCAACCTTTTTGTAATAAGTTCAGAATAAAAATGGCGAAGTTTGAAATAGAACCGCCCAATAATAAGAAAGTTGGGCATTTTTGAAATTTGAGATCCCTAAAGCTATGCGAATTTCAAACTGGCTATTCGGTCAGTGGAGTGTGACGTTTTCATGGACAACTCTTCCGTTTGTCGTGTAATAAAATATCAATTTCTAGAATTTTTCTCCCAACGTGAAAGTCCCGTCTCCCTTGGGGCACTCCTCAAATATATATTATTGATAGCATAATACCGTATGTCCCCTAGAGAGAAAAGACCCTCTCGAGTCCTACATTTTGAAGAAGAAAAACAAAATATATATTTTAGATAGTTTGGTTCTTAGAACAAATGGGTAGTCATCACAGTGAGATTACCGATTAAGCCCATTTGAAGTTCCTTTTATATACAACTTTTAAAAATTCATAACTTATTTGTCCGATTTTGTTCAAAGTTCCAAAAGTATGCTTCTCTGAATTTTCTGCTTTTTATTAGACGAGATTGATAACAAAATCAGCAACTTACTGGAAAATTTTGGCCAGAGTAGGAAAAGTTAATATCCTTTTGTCAATGACGAAGAAAAGGCAAGTAGATTGAGTTTAAAGGCCCTCAGTATTTGATGAAAAGTCATAAACGAGACTGTATGTCGTTAGATGCAAATAATGCTGAAGACAGTTCGACAAAAAATTTGAAGGAGAGTCTTTATTTTTTGTATTTATTGAATTTATTTCTCAAAACTCCAGTTATTTTCATCCCAAAATCTAAAATCAGCATCGCTTTTTTTCCAGAATAAAACTAAATACTTTAACAACAAAAATTAATATTTTAACATTTTATCATACTTGATTGAAATTATGAGATTTTATTAAAACACACAATATACATCTAACCCTCTCCCTTCCTTTCCTCCTCTCTAACTCCTTGAACTTATCCCCCTACCCTCTCCCCTCTTCTTCCTGATGGCTGACATTCACGCTTGCCGTTATAACCGCTCACATACTATCATAAGAATATCATCAACAAAAGCTTCTATATACCTCCTGCATGGATTCTCTAAACTCAATACTTTTGATGACTCGGTCTTTCACATCTTTTGGATTTTTTTTTCTCACATCAATGACACAGGACAAAGAACAGCTTCCTGGAAATTTCAGTGATCAATTCATATATCAGTTTATTTCTTCTATATCCCCTTTAAGAAAATATAATGAAATTGAACATGAAATTTGTAACATAATTTGAATGGAAGATGATAACTGACATGATTCTATAATAATAATAAACGCATACTTTTATAGCGAATAACATTGAGATGTCTCTTTACTCTTAACAAATATAATAGAGAAAGTTAATTAATCTACTATGAAAGAATCATAAACCTAGTAAGGGGGAATTAACTTTAATGCATACTAATAAGATAAACTACAGCATGCATTAGAAACTAAACTAGATTTGTAATACTTGTTTGGAACAAGTATAGGTGGGCTGGTCGAACTAAAATTTGAGACAAAATAAAGGGCACATTTGAGATTGCTTATCTCAGCTACAACATACTCGAAGTTCAGGGTAAACGAAGCTAAAACGACGGAGATATTGCTCGCGAAAGACGGGAATGTAGAATCGAGTTTTGAGGAAAAAAAAAATGTCCGTTAGAGAATACACGCAGAATGTGAAAAATTGACATGCCTCCTTTAATCGCAAAAAATACGCCATGATGCATTTGCCAAAATGAAAAAAATTAGGGTCACCTTGCATCCTAAAGAGCTACAATGGATTGTGCATAGGCATGTTTTTGCCCATATATGCTTTGTATTACAAGAGCTCGCGCGCACGGAAATTTATCTTTAACGGTCGATCATTCCGTCATTAATAGTCATAAAGAGATAAACATGGAATCATTTTTTTTGTAAAAATATGTGGAATATTATGAAAGAAAAAAAAAATGGCGATTCTATGTTGTGTAATAGTTTTACGCGCAAAAACGCGCACGCATGCGCGTGTGCGCGATTTTTTATAAAATGCTTAGAATGGCCTTAAACGTATGCAAAATGATTTTGAGCATTTTAAAATTTTGCGCGCGCATTGACGCGCGGACGTACGCGCACGCGCGCGTTATTTGACCTGAAATTGACCGGACGGATATTGACCTTGATCACGATGAATATGAATGAGAAAATGCTTTTGGTTATGAAGATATGATCATGAGTTGATTTTCCGAAAATTTTACAAAATGGCTCCTAAATGACGTCATCAGTCAAGGTCAATGTTGAAAATGTTATTGTGCTTTGTACATATGCCTATACATATGTGTGCCAAATTTGAAGGCATTTGATAGAGTCATTTTCAAGTAATCGTGCTTACAAAAAAGTGGTTAGAAATAAGAAAAAGATATAAATAAATAAAGGCAATTCTAACGAAATTATAAGGTGGTCTGTACGTTATACAGCCCACCTGATGATATAAAACATTGATTTCCTTTCCAATTAAAGGATACAAATGAGTTCTTAATACGTACAGTAGATCTCGTTCATTGTATACATTATATGTGACAAAATAATTGTTTAAACATTTTGTACATTTACACTGAACTTCTTAGTCAAACATAAAACATATCAATGTAACATTAACACAATTAATTTGAATTTAAATTGACCATGAAATTCAACACACATAGACTAAAATAACATTTCTTTTCCCCTTTATACAGCGGATGATTCCTTGCTGCCAGAATAGTGTGACGATGTAAGACATGATAGTTTGAAGCTAAATCATTGGTTTCTATTTTACTGTCATATTCAGTCTGCTAAGCTATGAACATAGTATAGGTATTTATGTATATATTCGTAACTATGTATACATACCCAATATTTCAAAGATTACAAAGATTCTGTTGCTTGTATTAGGATTCAAATGTAAAAAATGGCACTCTTTAATTTTTACCTTTTCTCAAAAGATCCCTCATCTTTCTCCCTCTCTTCTCTCTGTCGTTTTCCCCAGCTTGTCAATTCTCATTTTTCTTTCTCTGTCTTTATAATCCCTTTTTTTGTGGAGGGGGGGGGGGGGGGATTTTATTATCAATTTGAGGCGCAACATGTTGAACCATTTTTTGTTCATTTCTTATCCCATTTTTTTTTGTTCCTAGTCAATTTTGGTGAATGTATCGTCTTCTTTTATATAATTGTTAACAATGCAAGTTTGTACATTTTGAATGTATAAGTCGTTGGACTGACTTACAAGGAATTTTCTTTCAATAAACCTAGCCGAATGAATGAATGAATTACAAATGCACATGAAGCAAAAAGAGATAGAGGAATGTACGGGAATTAGGGATTGTATAAAGAAAGACCATTTAGAACGTTTACACAATTCACAATTTTTACGCATTTTTCCAGTAAACAACTATGACAAAAATAAATGGTGTCCTACATTATCAAAAATGTTCTTGAAACAAAGAACAAAAAACATATGTATATATAATTATGCCTTCTCCATCATTACCAACACATATAAATTAATTGATTGCCAAGTATCTTGCATATTTTAAAAACAAACATTTTTAGATACATTGTAATACATTGTATTTTGAAAACAATAATTTGCTTACGTTGCCACTAACATGAACACTTAGGGAATCTTATGAGTATTACAAATAGCATTGGAAGAGGGCGCTGCTCATCCCCCGTAATAGCGGGAATGCATGACCGTGCATTAAATTAGCAATGCATGCTTTCAGTCGATTAGAAGGTGTACTATCCCCTCTTTTCCTCGTTTATCTAACTACATCAGTCTATAAAATAACCACCATTTGTTATAATGAGAGCAACATCTTGATACTTCATAAGAGTAAACGTTACATTGTCTACTGCCGACATCATAATGAAATTGGCCAACATTATGATAGCATTATAATAGAGTGAAGTCTAGACCTACTCTTTGATTTACATCATATTTCGGTACTTGCTTGTTCATGGGCATAAATCCTTACGTAATACCTATTGTTCAGGGGGATGAATGAATAGATCATCACCCCTGAACAATAGGTATCAATTACAGATTTACGCCCATGGGCTTGTTTACAAAGCAGGAATACTGAAATTGGATTGCATCCTGGAGTTTTAAAGTTCCGATATTCGATGAAACATCAAGTTTCAAATGCAAAACTGAAATTTACTCCCATGTCTCATGAAAGATGTAAAGCCTATCATGAGTGCAGAAGGCAATCTCTCCCGTCTTGAATACTTGCAAATAGTACCATGCTCGATTGGGTTTGATTATCTCGAAGTCAGTGAGAATGATTTTGATGAATTTGAGCTCTTTTGTGTACTGAACGATGCTCAGCAGACTTTGCTTGTGCTTAACCCATGCAATGATAACTGAATTATCCTGATACGCAGCAGGGTAAGGGCATTCACCATCCTTGCTGAGGCTATGAATGATAGCACCAGACACATCGTTGATCACTTGTACCCCATTCGAACCATTCTGAACGACAATCGCTTGACTTGATTTCATCGCAAACATTTGCCATGGTTTAAATCCGTTACACTTTATCTCTCTAATTGCCTTCCCACCTTCTGGCTTAAATACCTGTATTGTGTCAACTTTTCTGTAACCTACGGAGATTAGCCCATCCTTCCCTACAGTGAGACCACCAAGCCCACCTTTCGCAACATCCATTGTCTCAAACGTAACATCAAGCTTTTCAAAAAGCTCTGTGTACAATGAAATTCTGTTAATAGTGTCACGTATGACGTATCCACCATCAGGCATAACGTGTAAGGCACGAACTTCAACAGATCCCAGAACCGTACCTTGTATGATGCCCTCAGAGGAATATATGAATATTCCTCCGCACCAACAACCAACAGCCATCTTATTGTTTGGTGATATTACCATCATGCTCATACTATTTTTAACAGGCAGCAGATCTTCCGCGTGCAGAACCCATTTGGACTTCTTTTGTCTTAGCTGACCCAACTGCATTAGTCCATCCGATCCGTGACTCCTGAAGCGAATTCGTTCACCTTCATCAGCAGTTCTTCTAGGCAGCACCTCATCTGGCCTAATTCGGCTTAGAAGCTCTTCCAGCTGTTGACATGTCGCTTTATGTGAGGTCAGAGCCTCTGTCTGGAGAGGAATATCAAGACCATTCTTAACCACGTCCCGAACCTTCTTAATCTGATCTATCTGCTTACGACCCGACTTCTCCATGTTTACCAATGAAGTCTCAAGTTTACCTAGTTTGTGCCCAACTTCATTTTCCAACACCGTCTTTCTTCTCTTCAACTTCTGAACCGATTCCTCGAAAGTCTCATCTATTTCACCATTAAGTTGTTTCTGTACGTTATGCACCCTTTTACGCTGGTCTACGACGAATGTAACATACTTGTCAACGTTGCGTATCTTTGCATCTGCTTTAAATGCAAGTTCCTCAATGGTATTATTTTGCGCAGTTTCATGTACGCCTGCTTCCAGGATAGTGTGAGCATCCTTTGCATGCTCTAATATGCCACACTTGAAGCAGACGTACTTCTTACAGTTAAGACAAAAGCATTCTTCATCGTCGGTTGGATGCTTTTCACATTTGCTCCATTTTTTTGGCAATGATTTGTCTTCTTGATTACAGTTAGAATGGCCCTGGGTCTCCACATCTTCAACAAGTGATCGGACTATTATGTTTGGTTTCAGTCTACCCACGTCTCCACCAGGAACCGAAGTCTCCTCCCTGCACGTAGGACATAACAGCTTCCGATGAGACACTAGGACAGTCTCAAGACAACCCTTGCAGAAGGTATGGGAGCAGGTCAGGTTCTTGGAGTCCTTGAAGAAGCTCAGGCAGACAGGACACTCTAGGTTCTTATCGACAGCCTCCTGCAAGGAAGTAGCCATTGTGTCTGCCTCGATGTATCAACTTAGATGAAGAACGAAAAAAACAATGCACATGTTTTCTTGTACGGGCTTGAACAGTCTATGCTTCTTGTCGACGTTTATTCCTGCCAAAAGCCGTAAGAACTGTAAATGACAAAGTCAAAACATTCGAAAAATAAGTATAACAGCATTACATTATTTTGTACATTGGGTATTTTTTTATTTATTTATTTATTTATTTCGGTTTAAAAAGACATATAAATATACATGATTCAAAGGTCCAAGGACCAAAACTGTTCATGTTTACAAATTATACAATACGGTTATAAATACAGTAAATATACAATAGTGAGCCAAACGAAAGGTATGACAAGTACAATACGAAATAAAGATGACAAAAATAATACAATTCCATCAATACAATACCAAAATAAACTAAGAGAGAGTAGGGTCAAGATCATAAAATTACTAAACTGATATATGGTAATGGTAGCAGATAAACAGACAAAAATAATGTTGAGCAACCAAACATTCAAAGAAAAAAGGGGGGAAAATATTTTGAAGATAGGCAACGATAAAAGCCTTAAAACCTGAATTAACATAATTACGTTTGAGTTGATAAGATAACCACACAGAAATTAGTTATACAATGCCATTATTAAAATATAACGTACACCAAATTGTGTATGTGTCAATTAAAAGATTCTGAGGAATAAGGCAAGAGGGAGAGAGAGATAGAGAGAGAGAGAGAGAGAGAGAAAGATGATAGAGATAGAGATAGAGAGAGAGAGAGAGAGAGAGAGAGAGAGAGAGAGGATCAAGGCTTATTAATTGCACGAACAAGAGAAGGAACAGCAGAATTTTGATATCGGCTAGTCCTGCACCTAGGAATGACCAAACCATGATTATTACGGAGGGGGCGAAAATTGGGCAAGGAATCTTTAGATGGTGGAAGTAAGTCTCTGTGTCGGGACGTCAGTAACGAGTGGGCAAACTTAGCATCAAGCTCTAATCTTCTTGCTTGAAGGGAGGGCAGATTTAGACTCTCTAGCCTTTCATCATAGGTGAGAGGGGTGAAACCGAGAATGATCTTGGTCACACGTCTCTGAACTCTCTCAACTTTCTCAGACTGTTGACAAGTGATTGAAGAAGACCAGACAGGTGAGGCATACTCTAGAATGGGACGGATATGGGATGCGTAAATGGTAACTAGATCACTACAGGATGCATTGTATTTCTTCAAGATACACAACATAAACAATCGTCTCGAAGCTTTTTGAACGACGAGATCAATTTGTTGACCCCACTTCATATTACATTGCAAGGTAACTCCTAACAGTGACAGGTGTGTGACTTCCTGAAGAACAGAATCGCCGATCTTGATTTCAGGGAAAGGTGGAGGGTTTCGCATGAAGCATATATTAAGGATCTTACATTTTGACGGTTTAGGCGTCATGTGATTTGTGCTCGACCATTGGGTTAGCTGGGAGACCTGATCTTGCAATTGTGATTGCTGAGTATGTTTTCTGAATTCTGCTAGGGTAAGGTCGTCAACATATTTCCATCTATTTGGGGTGAAATCTGCAGCATCATTGATCATGATCAGAAATAGGATTGGGCCAAGCTTGGTGCCCTGTGGGACACCACATGTTATGGATTGAACTTGAGAGGTAATGCCACCAAGGCGGACAGTTTGGGATCTGTTACTCAGGAAGTCACACACAACGGAAATGATAGATTGATTGACACCCATATTTATCATCTTAGTTACTAAAACGGTATGATCGATAGCATCAAATGCTTTGGCATAGTCAACTGTGCAAATTGATGCAATCGTTCCCGATTTGTCAGTTTCACGCAAAATACAATCAACCAGGCTGAGGAGGTAATGTACAGTGGAAGAGCCTCTGACACTGCCAAACTGTCGGGGGTCTATATGATCGGCAATATCACGTCTAATCCACTCCACAAGAAACTCCTCTAAGACACGAGCAAAGACTGGTGTTACAGAGATAGGACGTAACTGATCCAGAGAATTGCATGGGTTTACTTTAGGAATCGGAATGATGTTACCGATTTTCCAATACTCTGGAAACAAACCCGATTGTAGACAGGAATTGAAAATGATAGATAATGGTACAGATAATTCGACAGCAAACTCACGAACAAGTCTCTAAGGAATATCATTAGTATGAGATGACTTTGAGATCTTCAGTTTCTTCAATTTATTGTACACTTGGTAAGGTTGGATTTCCGGTGGTGAATCAGCTGGCAAGTACGCCGGAAGAGACCTGCGATCCAGGGGTGGTAGGGAGGAACAGACATTCGCAAAGTGGGAGTTTATCCAGTCAGCCTTCTAAGAATGTAACAGTTAAGTGAGCTAAAGGTAATACATGTATGTCCCATTTGCAGGCCAAAAAATGAAAAGGTTAAATTCCAACAGCGTTTGAAAGACAATACATGTTTCATTTAGAACTTCCCTCAAAACGAAAGTGAAATTTATTTCAGTGATTGCAATAACTCAAGTAATAGTCTGACTTTCAGACCCGTTTACCGAATGGTCGTACGTTTTGTGCTGCACAAAGATTCAATCAGTTTAATTTTGGCCAGTACAAGTAGTGGGTGATTGATGTAGACAAATGCACATGTACCTGTTACAGTTCATTTTATGTTTGTTGTTACCAAAGAAAAAAGAAGCCAGTCATTCACTCAATAGTGTCTTGTTTCTTATGAATATTACCTTCATGCACATTGTGTACCAACTCATTATTATTAAGTGACTCCACAAGTATGCTAAATTATACACTATGAATAACAAGTTTGTGGTTTACATTGTAAGGGTTGATTTAACACAGCCCAAAATATGAACTACAAATCTTAATGAGATAAACTTATTTCAGTGAGGCACTTATAAATGCTTAACCACTGTGCCTGCTGAGTGCTGACATCAAAGATGGACCAGTTTACTTTCAACTTGATGCACATCTTGTTACAATTAACTTACAGTAACTAGTAATTAAGGCTCAAAATACACGGGGGCGACGGACGATTCGCCCCATGAGCTAAATAATCGCCTCCGTCAGATTGCTCTTGGGGGCGATTGCAAAATTAAAAATCGCCCCTGTAGAATTATAAAATAAAGATTATCTTTTTTGTTAAACTTTCAATAAAGATAAAGTTAAGTTCTGGTCATGTGATTGCAATGTGAAAGAAACGTTGTGGAAACGATCAGAAAAGGTTGATCATCTAGCATATTAGTATTGGTGTGTACTGCAAGGTGAGAGAGGGCCTACTTAACTTAAGTGCAACTTAAGTGCAATGGCAAGGCCAATACGTACTATTAGATAATAGATAACACACTCTAACACAACATAATCTTTCAAAACATGAATACACCTCTACTTATTAATATTCCAACCTCTGATTTTTCAGAAAATCTCTAAATTGACAAAAGATGATAACTATCCATTTTTCACAGTTCTCACGCTTGCTGGGCTACGCCCCTCGAAAAAAGGTAATACGGTCACGTGGCCTTGATGACGCATTTGACGTCATTGCGGGCATATCCGATTTGTTCTACAACTAAGGATCTTGCATTAGGAATGACGAAATTGCCAGAAACGTATTGGGATTATCAAGTGCATATTATTTTTCGGATAAATGTCTCTTTTTTTTTCTCCAATTAATATCAAAGGTTGCCTTCTTAAAGACATTGTAAT